ACTACTACTACTACCACTATCACCACCACCAACAACAACAACCAAATACTTCCACTTCTTCGGTTTCCGACGATTGCATGAATATTGTTGGACTGCACTCATCTACTAACAGGGCTACCTGTCTTCAACACTGAAACCGGCAGGAAAGAATGGGAAGCTGACTGCGGTAAGCTTTCTCCTCCATATATACAGCTTGCTGGTGTCAGGGTTGGGCCTCCTATACAGGCGAAACAAGGACCCGGGATCTTAATTGCATAGTTTTCTTTTTGCAGCTGGTTGCGTCCCCCCGATGGGCCTTTCTAAATTAACAGAAGTCCGCCAAAAAGGACATCTGTTAATCTAATTGCTCCCTTATTTGTTTTCCTCCATGTTCAGCCCGTCGGCTTTGTGACGTTCGAGTCCCGCGAACAGGCGGAGAAGGCTCTCAGTAAACTCCAGGTAAGCGTCTTTCATGGGGACTGTTAAAGACTTCATAAATTCTAAAAAAGTACTCCAAAACTATCACCACCTCGTAATGCATCTTAAGGAGCAAGTAGTTATTTTTTTGAAACTAAGGTACTAGCCTGATCGACACAAAGTCCCACATCTGAAAGTCGGTGTCGTTTACTTGGTAGCTTCTAAACGTCACCTCTGTGGCAGTCTGACGCATGTGAGATACAAGCCGGCTTACCTCCTTTTGTTTGTGAGGCAACCACCGCGTCGATTTCCCGGAGCAGACACCTGACCCGTCTCGGACACTGACTGGGGCCCGAGAATGGGAATATAGAGTGAGGTTGACGTCTCAACGTGCGTTCACCAAAATCTGACTCGCTTGAAACTATCTCGGTGCGCTCAAAGCCGTGGCGGCTTGAAAGGTTGTCAACTGATGGGATATCTTGGACTTCGCGGTCAGCCCAATTTATGTTGTGTTGCGTCTGACTGGCGGACCGAGAGTCAGGCTGCAATGGCTTCCTAATGCGTGGCCTCTATGACTCTTCCACTTAGCTGGGCTCAGAGTCAAGTGTGATGGCAGCCTTCGGGGGCGGGTTTTTGCGGCGCCGGTCACCTGTACCCTATTCCGCTTCCGGACTTGAACCTGGTACACGAAACCCTATACATTTGATCCGCCAATGGGAAGCTGTTCGTTCACGTGGGATCGAGGTTCTACCTAACCCCTTCACTTTCCTTCCCGGTTTTCACAACGAACTCACGATTTCTTTTAATATCATTTCCGTTCTGCGTTTGGGAAGGATCAGTACAGGTGCCGTTCATGCGATCCCTGATCTCACTCCACATAATACGTGTTCATTAGCACAGTGGTGTTCGATGGTCAACGGACTTGGAGTTAAAAACTCAGATGTGCAGACAGGAAGTTAGGCAGTACCGCCTGTTGAATTCAAATAAGCATGAAACTGCCATTCCACCATCCGTAACATCCCAGGCAGTCTCGTTGCTCTTGAACTGGATGCTTTGCAGATTCCAAGTTGTACCCAAGTCAAGCGAGTTTTTCTGGAATTCCGAATGATTGTAGGCTCATCGTATTTATAGGGAGTCGTGAGGAAACTATTTTAACTGCTACGTGATATTAAGCCCACCGCAAGCAGTCTTTAGGAACGATTCTCAAAGTCTACCCTACAAAGCTATTCCAAATTTCGAATCAGTTGACTATGCCACAGGTAGCTGTAATCAGGTCCCGCAAACCGATCCTGTGCGCACAGAAGAACTGCATACGGGCGCTGCAGGTACCATGGCCCAAGGCCACCAATTCCCTCACCTTCCTAGGCGGCGCCTGATTAGAAGATACTACCTACAGTTTCTTCTTGCCTAGCCCATCATGCCGCATATTTTACTTATTGTCACAGCAACAGAAATGGACAGACCTGAAGACGTTTGTTAGAAAGTCGACGCATGCTCCGCAAATTTTCTCTGAGACGATCAAATACGAAAGTAATACAGGCGTTTTCATCTAATCTTAAACAAATACGCATACTTGAAAACATCTGAACCAATTTACCCCACCCAAGAAGACCTTATGTGACTTTCAACCTTTATTGCTTGCTGGAAGTTCGTTCGCCGTTCAAACGCTTTTAGGGCCGCATTTAGCCGAAACTCGAGTTTGAACGCATGTTTCTAAACTGACAACCAACTTGGTTTACTTGATTTCATCACACGAATTGTCATTTACTTTCCTACCGCTAGTCTCACATATCTCAGGCCCCACGACAGTCGACGGTATTTATTATAAATGGGCTTCCAGACGATATATATTCCCAACCGGCGTCTAGCAGTTATTTTTTGTGGGGATCAGGTTTGGTAAAAATGAGCATGCTTTTCCCCTGTTATACTTCCTGATAAACTTTTGAATTACTTGCAGCTTCCAAAGACCTGCTGCAAAGATGGGTGGAAAATCGGTAAATAATCACGTTGCAGACCCTTGCCGCCACTTGCAGCGCATAAGCACGAAGCATCCTTTTAGGAATTAATCACACCTGCTGGGGTAGCGGACACTGCATG